GTGTGTGTGTGTGTGTGTGTGTGTGTGTGTGTGTGTGTGTGTGTGTGTGTGTGTGTGTGTGTGTGTGTGTGTGTGTGTGTGTGTGTGTGTGTGTGTGTGTGTGTGTGAAAGAGAGAGAGATAGGGATGTTTTTTACCGACTTTGCAATTTTGTTTTGTGTTACAAACTTTGTTCCGACTAAAGAACTGGTGCTTACAGAAGCAAACCAAACATCCGGGAACTGGAGGAGGGTCGATAACCAATCAGAAAGCTCCCAGCCCCGCGGGTACGTTGCAGAAATAATACGGTGACGGTCGAGTCGGGTTTATTAGACGACCGCAGCCTTCCTTCGTTGTTTTCTTTTCTGTTTTTTTTTTCCCCCGCTTAATCTTCTTGCCAGATTAACCACCGTTTGACAGGTCAATAAATCGTCTTTGAAAGAGTTTACGGCTTCATTTTAACGAGGTGCTGCTCTTAATGAAGTAATTTACTGAGCCGGAATCAAAGTAAAAAAATAAAAACTCGTTTTTCACTTTTTTTTTGCTTTTTTCTCCGTTTATGTTTCTTAGTTTTTGTTCTTTCTGAAATTCTAGAGCTCCGCTGTGCGATGTATTTGGCTCTATCGTCTTCTTTAAAATGGAAGTCTGTTGGAAGATAAAACTGCATTATGAAACCCATTTTTGGAATTGAGAGTTTATTTAGTTGTTTATCTTCATTTAGTTAGTTTTTTTTTCTTAAAAGAAAACGTGGAATAGAGAGCACATCATATAGAGTCCATGAACGTAGTCTACACTCCTAAATCGACCCATGCCCTTGGGGATTTTCCCGACTCCTTTCATTTAAAAAGCGAACATTCAGCGCTGAAAGGTTTTCGAAATGGTTCGTTCCGCCAAACTCCAATGGAATAACAACTTTGACAAGGGGATGTCTTTTCCTCGTGAAGTGATTAATAATAGGTGGCCGCTCCTTCGTTACTAACAAGCAGCTTTTTTCATTGCGTCAGATTCACCCGGATTAACCGCAGGAAAGCAGGTGGGAAGTATAGGGAGTACTCACTGGCGCGGCCATAGCTGCGTGCGCGAATGCTTAGCGCGTGCTGACGGCGAGCTTCTACAGTTCTTTTGCAATGTGCATTCCGCACCATCAAGAGTGTCAATCTTAGCAGCCTATTGATGTGAGCTCGTTCTGAGCATGCGCTCTAAACAGCACCCACAAATATGGCGTCCAGTGAATACTCCCTATAGGGTGGCCACAATGGATCCCAGCGCGGTAAAACAAAGTCGAAATAATTTGTGCCTGCTTATATGAAGTTCAAATTCTCATCGAGTGTGTTAAGGGCGTGGATTTTCCCTCTTTAAAGTTTACGGCGTAGCTCCCGTCCCGTGCAAAGTGAGACCAAACAAACGTGCGAGGCTCAACGAGTACGCAGACCACGGAGTTAGCGATGACCCTAACTTGTGGCGCTATCTCCCGATAAGCGCATCGAGCAGACGACAGAGCGAGTCATCTGCTCGCTTCTCTCTCTTTCTAACTTCTTTCTATATCTGTTCCCCGTAGAACGATCTAATATTATCTTTTTTCATTTGATGATGATAATGATGATGCGGCTTTACCCTGTGTAGTGGGCGAACTCGGGAAAAGAAATTACATTCCCTAACCAAAACTATAAAAAGAAAAAGAAATTTAAATGGCTCTTTGCTTCTGTCTAGAATCACGTTTCGCGATCGTTCCAGTCTGGATTGATGGATGAATCCGGCTGAGCCCTGTGGATCGGGCGGTAGCTTACGCCACCTAGCCATTTTGTTTTACCATTTAAGCTTAGAATATTTAAATGTGGAAACTATATTCACTCCGCACTTGCCATCGTTAATAAGAAATACATAGTTTTCTTTGGCCTTGTGCCACCATTCACTTAATCTTTGCTTGGTAATCTCTACTGTCTTGAAATCCACTTTACCTTCGCTGTCTCTAAAACCCAATGACTTTATTAAATCTATGTTGTCTTCGGTAGGCATAGGGTGAAGCCCTTTACAGTAGAGTATCAAGTGCTCAGTCGTCTCGTCCTCCTCTCCACAAGCAGTGCACACTGTATCCATTTCCTGGTACTTCGCTCTGTATGTTCTGGTTCTGGTTCGCAGGACACCCGCCCTCGCCTCAAACAACAATGAGCTTCCCCTAGAATTGTCATAAATGCTTTCTTTGGTAATAACTGTTTTGTTTAATCTATAGCTTTCCAGTGCCGTCTTTGTCTGCATTCCCTCTAGCCACCGATCTCTCTCTGCGGCCTTAACTTTCTTCTTAACTGAGACCTGCTCTTCCGTATCTCCACTATAGCCTAAAAACTTTCCTCTTAATTTACTAGTGCGCTGTCTCCACTTTGTATATACACTCCTCATGTATAAATAGCTGAAAACCTGTCGTGCTCATTGCTCCCCATCCATTTGCCTCAACCGATCCTCAAATTCTATCTTGCTCGCAGCTTCCCTGCCCTCAAATGACTCCCATCCCATGTCTCCTTGCACTCCCTGGTTTGGCGTTTCGGTCCCCAGTGCCGTCTCGTGGTGACCCAGAAGGACCTTGCTCACTAGCGTTCAATTTCCACCGCAATACCACAGGGAGTGAGCGCACTAGGGGGTAGTGATCTACTAAGAAGTCACTCAAGCAAAACGTAGCTATAGAGTTCCGGCGAATCACGAGGTGATCCGCCGTACCAGACGCCGAGGGCAACTGGGGGCTGTCGACGAAATTCGCCTCCAGGGCGTTGGCAGTGGGCGCTCGTCCACATACGGTTATGCTCGTTCAACCGTGCATCGTGTTACCAAGCCTGTGAGTAAGTCAGGTAACTTTCCACCTCGAAACGTGGAAGATAAAGAAAGGGCTGTAGAAAAAAAAAAAGTGAGAGACGTTTACAAATCTCTGTGATGCGAAACTAGAGCGCAGCTCTTGAGGAAGAGGAGGGGAGGGTACGAAGGGGAGAATATGCCCGTCCTCCTCCTCCGTGCCCTCCTTTCCTCCTCTCACGCGTTGGCGTCATGTGTTGAGGTCACTTGACGTCAATTGCCCCGCTAAATTTTGGGGGAAAATTTCCCGCTAAATTTAGCGGGGAAACGTCCCATAATGCAATGTGCGGTTACGCCGATGCTGCTCAACCCGGAAACGGGCGCCTAAAATCTGCGCTCTAAAAGATGCTGATGCAGGGGCAGATCCAGAACTCCGTTTCTTTTTGTTTTGTTCTTGTTTTTTTTTTTTGGGGGGGGGGGCGGGGAAATTTTAAGGATATTCTTCTCCCATTCTTTCTTGTGCACCGGAGGGCTCACCCATGTCGAATTGCCCTCCGAGAAGAGGGAAGGGGGGGGGGGGTCGACTTTGGTTGGGGGGGGGGGGGGGGGGGGGGGCGGGGGCGGCCGCCCCGTCGCCCCCCCCCCCCCCCCTTCCTTGGATCCGCCCCTGTGCTGATGAGGTCCCTAGCAGACAGAAGGACGGTGGAAACGGGCTCTGGAAAGAGGTCGTTCCTGGGCAGCTCGATAACTGCAGCGAATACGCATAAACCAAACATACAGCACACCGGTATTGAGGAAAACACAGTTTGATAGTATATGGTAACATCTTATGTTCTCCTGATTCCCCACGTTGCGCAAAGTGCGCTGTATTTGCGAGCGAATAAACCAAAATAAGTAGGTTAGTAAGTGCTTAATATAAATGGTAGTGGATGGTGCAGACACTCTTTTCCGGAGTTTAAGCAATATCTTGATACGTGGTAACTTTGCCACGTCGGCAAGAAAACTGGCAGGGCTGTCGTTGATAGTTCAACATTTCTCCGCGATCGGACCGGGTCAACCAGGCGCGTAGATCTCGGACGGCTAACCGCACTGACCCTCGCACAACTGGGAGAACTTCCAGTCCAGTGAACTACTATGTCACGACCACTGGATTTCCCCTTTTGCTGCTCAGTGGAGGAGGGAAGCAAACTTGGGCTTTCATTTTTTTTTTCTTTCTTTTAAGTGAAGGCATTGAAACGAAAACGGACTGGCGGTCTAGGCTCAATTGATACTCATGATTACTTTGGTCACCGTGTAGAACAAAAAGTTCATAAATCATTTCGTGGTCGCTTTAGTAGGAAAACGGAACGTTGATACCCGCATTTTACTTAAGAGTTCTCAGAGCACGCATACATGTGATTAGACACTTAGTAAACAGCAATCATTAACCTGTCGAGTGCACCTTTAGCTTTGAGACGTTTCACAGCGGCAACGGTTGGTGGCAACTTCCCCGGGTAATGTCGTAGTCTTCCGCCGCGAAAACTCCCCGTGACGTCATCAGAAACGTCATGAATCACGGGACCGCTCCCAGCCGCCGTACCATGGGACTTCCTAGACTGTAGTCGGCACTCCCTTGTTCCCGCGCATGCGCACAGTCATCCGAGACCTGCAACTGCCATCCTCTTTCGGCGCTCGCTGTTGAAGTACCGAGGGAAACAAAAGCACCTGGGTGCGCACGAAGTGCGCGAAGAACAGACGAACTTCGCGCGCCATTTGGGTAGACCTCTGAAAGCCCGTAGCGGACCCGAAGAACGCGGTTTTCAGCTACGCTATAGTCACTGTCACACACGTTACGCAATAACGTAAATGCACTCGTTTTTTTGTGTTCTTTTTTCGGCAGAATCTTTACTTTTAGGCTACACATGACTCCAACCGAAGACGACGGACGACAAAGGGCGCGACTAGGGACAAACACACACGTCTCCGGTCGTCCTCGTCCCCTGTCCCCTTTGTCGCCCGTCGTCACCGGTTAGAATCACGCGTAACGTTAAACATCTCGCCCGTTTATTAACCTCGACTCGTAACATCTCAGTTGTCTCGTTCCCCATATACGCCATCTCAACCCTCTGACGCTCCATTTGAAGCGAATCTGGTTTCTGGGGACGCGCGGTCGCAAACGGGGCGTACATAGGGAACGAGCGTGTTGGTGCGTAGAGAAAACGTCCCTGACTGTCGTCCCTATTTCCTCTCTTCCCCACGCAGCCAGGTGTCCGAGCGAGCATCGTGCTCGTCCGCCGCCGGCGGCTCGGGCCCCGGCGGTGTCCCTCCGTCGGCGCCCGGTCGTCGCAAGCCTGCGCCCCTGCTGCGCGCCCGCACGCTGCCGGCCATCGTCACCCCGAGCCTGTGCATCATACAGGCACAGCTTGACGCGGGCCAGCAGCAGGGCACCGCCATGACGCAGCACCGCCAGCCCAGGCACGCCAAGAAGAAGCAGCAGGCGGACTCCTGCAAGGGTAAGGAGGAGAGCAAGGCGCGTTCCGACCGCTCCCTCGCCCCCCCCCCCCCCCCCCCCCCCCCAAAAAAAAAAAAAAAAAGTGATCCTATAATATATTTACCCCGTAGCCTCCTCTATACTGACAAAGCCTAACAGATCGCCACGAGAAGCTGCCGCCGAAATGGGAAAGGGGGAGCGGCAGACAACGGAGGAGAGGAAAGATCCACGTGACTGGCGCCCCGCTGTGGCGGGACGCCGAAACACACTTCTCCCGAGAGTGTGTTTCGGGTCCTCGCCGCTGCAAAAGCTGGGCGCTGACGTGCAGGTTCGCCGAGGAATGGCTCTTTGATGCTCTGTGCTACCAGATCCTCGCGCTCCAAATCTGCGACTGGGCACTGTATATGGCTCCGCCATTAAACTGCCAGGCTTTGTGAGTATAGAGGAGGCTATGCTTGAACTAATCACGCACTAAAGAAGATCACGAAACATGACGGCAAGACGCAGTTCGGTTACACGCGTTCCTTATTATTACCAGCACGCTCGTCCCTACTTCAATTTTTGTGGAACTCCGGAATGATACTTCAGACAGTTTGCTCGAATACGGGGATAATGAGCACTCGTATAGATACACATTTTTTTTTCTTTCTACACATAACAGCTCATTTGCTATCCCGATATAGTAACAAAGAGTTATATGCCAAATTACCTTTCGTTAAATAAAAATAAAAAAAAAAAAGACGGTATCTAGAGTGGCAGTTTTCGTAGGAATCCCTGAACAAGCCTGGAGGCAATCGGGGTTCAATTTAAACTCCCGGGGATACGTCGTCGGCGGCAGTTGAAACGTGCTTCTTTCACTCACTCAAATCAAATTATGCGTGGAAATGAACGCTGAACATCTTCAGAAGGGAAAGGTATCCGCATAGAAGCGAAGCTCTTCTAAAAATAGCTCGCTCTCAAACGGGTTCACTTGTAAGCGACATGTTCAATTCTCCTTTTCTGTTTCTCTTTTCAGTCCTTGTTTATTCATGAGCCTTTTGGGTATCATCGTTTGGGGTCGAAACGAACTCGGGCGAATCGTTCCAAATAATACATATTTTTCGACAAGATATCGGAGGCCCGTGTTTTCATTTTACTCATCTGGGTCGCTCGCGCGGTATACTTCATTTTGTTAGATCCGTCTATGTAGTTGGATTATGTATTTATTGGTGATGTTGCATATTTCACTTGGAAATTATTAGACTAAGAATCGTTGAGGAAGGGTGAGAGAAGGGAGGAAAATGAGGCAAATCATGGGTGTTGACTTGTCTCAACGTGCATGGTGGCTTGCGACTGGTAAAGCTTTAGCGATTATTGTTTTGTCGTTTTTGTTTCCTCTCTCGTACAGTTGCCAAAGCAGACATGTTGACTATTAAAACCAGTAATAAAAATTTTTTTTTTCTCGTTTAAATTGTTTATTATAAAGGATTCACGTTCACAAAGACATAACACAGGTATCGACGTTTGTTTGCACTGTACCGCTTGCGTAAAAAAAAAAATTTTTTTATTAGGTATTGTTTTAGCTATCTACTCTTCCGTCGTCTAGACATCTTTTTATCAAACAAAAATAATAAAGTGATATACAGTATTTTAATTACTCAAATTTATCGTAGTCGAGCATGCGGATGGTAAAGAACAAAGGATTCCTAATCAACGGAAGTACAAGAAAAGAATGCTGCATCCAATATCCGTATCAAGACACTGCGACGTCCCCAGTAACAAAAGTTCCATCCGTTTCCTGATCTCCGGTTTTCGTTTCATCGTACCATTTTAAGCTCATTTGTGTTATTGAAAAAACTCAAAAAGATGCGGATTTTCTTAGTATCCCCCGGAAATACATCACGTGAATTTTTTTTTTTTTTTTTTTTTTTGCGGGCAATTTAAGTGTGGCATGCACCAAGTCTCCTAACTCTACCGAGGGACGGCTGCCTAAATTGCGGCCAGTTGCTTGAAGCAGCGCGCCACGCTCAAAGCCAGAGTCACGTGCCCCGTTACATCATACAAAAACATTCTGCATCCACTGTCTGACGTGTGTGTTTTCTTTTCGTACGACGGTATTGTTAGGTTGGTCATAACAAACCTGGTATGCATATACATGCTCAAAGCATAAACACATATACGAAGCAAGCGTGCTCCGAACATTCTTGAAGCATGTCCGCGGGTACTTCTGTAATGAAGTCTGCAAGTCCACGCCGTGTCTTTCTGTATAATGTTGTACGAGCAGCCGGACTGCGACTCTAGGTTTTCCTATGGCTAGGACCGTTCGTCTGTTGCGAGGAAGGTTACGCGTCTGTTCGCACCACGTGGTTTATTCAAGCCGCCGACGACGGGACACCAATATGTTGCCCGCCGGAGCCGACATTTCGTTTCTCTCTCCGTCGCCAGGGTCCCCGGACAAGGCGGACGCGTCCCCGCCTTCGGCCAGGCTTCTTGCGCGTCGCAGTCCTTCCGGGGGCACCCTGAGGACGCGGTCGACGCAGGACACTTCAGCGCGTAAGTGGCACATCATACAAGAAAAAAACAAATAGTATATGTACCAAAGCCGTATTCACTGAAGTGCACTGTTTTCCGCGCGTGCTCAGAGCGAGCTCACACTTATGGGTTCCCGAGACCGCCGATCTTGTTGGCGTGGAATCCACGTTGTACATAATCACCGTGGAAGCTTGTTGCCATCACGAGCTAAGCAGCTATGCGCTCAGCTATGTCCGCCAGTGAATACCCCCTATAAGTAGTTATAACGTATAAGATCCCGCATGCATCAGGATACTTTCGTGGCATAGGTAGGTCCTAAAAAGCTGTATACCCTGTTGTAGGTTAAGAGGAGCGGGACAAGCTAGTCCCGCTAAGCCGTCCACCCTTCGTCTCAGCTCCTTACCGGCGTTTTCGCTCTGCCAAGTGAAAGGAAGGGGGGGGGGGGGGGCGGGGGCGGAGGGGGGAGTGCTTCGTGTGAGGAGCCTGTCTTAAACCTGAGACAGAGAGAAGGTTATACGGAGAGAAAGGGAGGGAGAGGAGAAGGTGAGAGGGCACGGAGACGTCAGATAGCGAGCTCTGATTGGATGGATTAGGGGATAGAAGCAAAGGCTGGCTGACTTTGCTTGTAGGGAAACCCACCGTCGCCCTCCAGTCAGAAGAAACAACAGAGTCGTCTGCTTCTCGTATGGGATCCAGTGTTCGAACGCCCAGCGTTTGCGTTCGAACTCCAGATCCTGCTCGAGGAGCAGACGACAAAGTGAGGAGACTCTCCCCGCGTGAGAGAGGAAGCATGAAAAGGTGAGAGGGGATGTGGTCTCGGGTTTTACCAAACTTCGCCTCCCCCGCAAGACTCCACCACTTTGAGTGGGTGGCTAGCATTTCTGCCCGTTTGGTAGCAAACAACATCTCGCCCATGAGCTCTTCATCTCTCGTAGCGCGTCCGGTAGTCACCATAGTCAACGGACAAGGTGAGAAGTTCAGGGAGGAGCTTCAGCTTCAGCGAGAGCTTCCTACCTTCGACTACGCTACAGCGTCTCGGGCACTTCGAATGCATACGCAACCGTGTACCGATGAAACAAAATATGGCTAGCTAATATATGTTCTATGTGCGATTGCGCGTGCATTAGTTTCTTTTATGTATAATGAAAGCAGCTGGTGACAAGCGCCAGGCTATGTGTCATCTTTAAAAAAGTTCTGACCACGCATCCTGTCTTCATTATGTAAAGCGTCATGTGCTCACGTATACGCTGCATGCATTTTACGAGATGAGTTAGACATCGTGTGACTTATAAACTATAATAAATTCATGGCGTAATTATAGCTGCGGAAAATCCAGAAGGAGAAAGAGGAAGCGAATGATGAAGACGAGGTACAAAGCTCGGGGCAGAGAATGACTCATTATTGGCACGTGAATTATTGCCCGATCTCTCGACGTCCTTCGTCTGAAACGAAAAAGATCCTTGACAGCATTTATTGCGTTGTATGATGCAGCATGCACGAAAATGTAACCATCACGTGCGAAGCTATATTTATACTAAGTAGAGTTATGCACCACCAGTAGAAGTTACTTGCATCAGGACAACGGATGCGCCTTACATATGAAAGTTGCGCAAACCTTTCGAAGTTTTGAAAGTGCAAACTGTAATAGCACCTCAATTGATCCGATGGTTTTCGCACAGTTTTCTTCCTATCGTAAAAACAACCTTCCTGGCTCATAATTATAGTTCGTCTTTTGTTTTTAAAAGACACTGTCGAAAAAGAAAGCATCGAGCTATATTTATATAACTATGGTAGTTTTGATTTCCTTCCCATGCTACATTATATTTTATCCAACTTATCTTAGCAGGAGCTTTATTTCCCTAACACTTACAAATATGCGATATCATGAATAAAACTATTTTTTTTCCATAAGAGTGCTTTCTGAAATATTAAACGTAAAATATCGGTATTCGAAAATATTCGAATACCATTCGCTTTCAATCTAAATAACCAAATTAAGATCCAAATATTTTTTTATTTATTTCCAAGTCGGCGAAGGGAAAGAGGGATGAAGGCAACTTCATTTTTTTTCGACGAGCCTCTCGCTCACTCAGCAGCGACAACGAAATCAACCACAAACACAATATTTGTTTTAAAGCAAAGGAGCTAAACAAAAATAACGTAGAACACACAAAACAACATTTTAAATCATGCAACTAGTATAGTAATTTGACATCTAAAGCATATATATGGGTGAATCCCAAACAAATATTAAGCGTGTATGTTTTAGCAGAATCATTACAAATCAATGCTATGCGCAAAAAAAAAAAATACTTAAAAGTTCGGGAAGGGTACTTGCCGTAAGTTTTACTGGAGTGGGGTATTATCCATGCCACATATTTACGAGGTTTATGTTGTACTTCCCCATGCCCCGGGTTAAAACATTGCCATGTAAACACTTTCAGTGCGTTTAAAAGATCGTTTGTATCAAAGAACAAGTTTAGAGATAAGTTATTTAGAATTTTCACAATATTTAGTTCATTAAATGCTACTTTCGCTTAACTATATATATATATATATATATATATATATATATATATATATATATATATATCATGCGTAACACGGTACATAATACGAAAAACATTTCGTAACATTATTATATGTATTTTTTCAATATCTGTGGAAGTTGTACTTCCCCAGATTAAGAAGCAGTAGTTATATTGTACATGAAAAAATAGAATTGTAGATAAAAATCAATATTGGGGTGGGAAACATACTTCGACATTTGCATATAATACCAAAAGTCCTTGAGAGTTTACTAAATAGATGTTGCGCAGCGTCATCCCAGACCGTGAACTGATTGAATATTATTCCCAGTAATTTTACACTCCCTCTATATAATTATTATTTGCACCACGCGAGAGGACAGACGTGTGAAGATATTTTGTATTTCGTGATCTATATATAACAGCTTTTGTTTTGTTAACATTAATTTGTACAGATTTTCCTCTCGTCTAATCATTTAGCCTAACTAAGGGTCGAATTGCATCGTGTATAATTTGCTTAACATGATTTCCTGAAAAACGAAAATACACCGGAAGCATCTAGATAGAACTTTATCGTCAATATTTACAATGTCATATACATACAAATTTAAAAGGAGTGGGCCTAGTATATGCTGCCTTGCGGGGCACATACTGTGGTTCGTATTTGATATTCGCAGTCCCGAATTCGGTATATGTAGTATGTATTTCGTAGGATCATATACGTACCGGGGGTATCCTCGCAGTATAAAACAGCAAAATCTTGCCACGATCTTGTCAGCAAACAAAAGGGTATGCAAGAAAAAAAGGCGATCTCAGCACTTCGTTTTGAAAATGTCGGACATTACTTCGTACCGCCATCTGCCGACGCAAAGGAGCGTTGAACGCGAGACTGACGAGTCCTGCCATCTGTTGGCCGGATCGGTCTGTCTCGTCACTTAGCGCCATCTATCGGTACTCTTTCAAAACATGTCCTGGGCTCCACCACCGAGCACAAAAGGGAAGACCTTGATTAGACGATGGGACAAATCTGGGTATCGACAAGGCGATCGATTAATGGCTTTTCATACCCCCTAAAAAGTATAGATAATGTTTACATGACGGGAAAACCACATTAAGGTCGAGAATCGCACTTTCGGAAGCGATGACACCACACCTAATATGCACGACATAAAAGTGAATATTTCTGAATGAAAACAAGGAAAGGGTGGATTTATGTTTCTGCTCTTTGACGTTTTAATTTGATGGTCCCCGGACGCTTCGGGTGCACTTTTCAAACACACGCAACGAAAAAAAAAAAGTCGGTGCGTCGAAGGGCGCTCGGCGTTCGGCTCGGGCTGCTTCCTAAAACGTGCCCCGTCCAAAGTACACGTCAAACATTTATATAAATGTGTTTTTTTTTTATTTTCTTGCTAGTAGTTAGTTTTATAACGTATTGCACGCTGAAACATCAATGCACACGGGGTCGAGGGACTTTTTGAGCCCCTATCACGATCCGCCATCTATCGACAAGGTCGCAAACCTTTATACCACTTTATCTTTGAGGCTCATTTAATGGAGTTACGTATACGATGGGTGGAGGCGTGGGGGGGGGGGGGGGGGGGGAGGGGAGGGGAGCAACAGTCGTTTTATGCCGTACACGCGGATCGACACAGCGTCTGACTCTCGAGCCGACCCCGCAGGTGTTTCGCAACCGTTTTACCCCAGAACCAAGTTTCCTTTGTCTTCGGAGCCAACTTGCTTGGGGGGAACAAAAAGGCGGTATTCTGCTAGACGCGACGTGTCGAAACCATTCCCTGTCGGCAGTAAATCTACATATCGACGGCGTAGGTCGACGAAATTTCTTCCCGCTCCGCGCTGGCAACCGAGGTCGTAATATCACTCCGGATACTGGTCACTTGAGAACTTCGGCTAGTGTCACTATAGAGATGTCGCCAACTCTTGGTAAACCTGAGTTTCGACTGCCTCGGCGAACTTTCAACCTTTGGGTGAAATGTCGCGAAGTTCGACTTCACAAACCGCGTTTTCCGACTTGTAGACAAAATTCAATTTTTAGGAAAGATATCTTGTTCGGTAGTTTGTTTTATATTTTAGAGAAAAATAACATATGCTTACAAAATATAAAAAATCAACCATTTGAGCGTTTACGATTGTGATTTTTTAATACGAAATGATATAGCCGATAAATATTGCACCCGTCGTCCGCAAGGACATGTCCACTCATTAGTTAATAACATGTAAGTTATTAACAATATGTTGAACTATGACTAATACGTTTATAACAATAGGTTAATAACATGTAGTTTCTTGGAGTTTTTTTTTTTATCATACAGTGCATTTTTGCTTGCAAAAGCACTTTCGTGCTTGTATGTGAGCACAGGCTGTTGGTAGAATAATATTACCTGATCTTCTCAGAAGAGTATGACACAAACAAGATACACGAAACAGACTTACCACGCTCTCATTACACGCGCACGCGCATAATAATCGAACTTCGGTAGAAATGTTTGACGAACTTAGCGTTAAAAATT